TAGTATTAGTTCATTGTTGTGGAGGGTCAAGGAAAGGTTTATATATGGAGGGAAATTTTCTTTGTTGGTTGCCAGGGGTAGGAGGGGAGGGGAGGGAGCACTGCAAACAAACAAAATGCATGGACGCATGTCACTTTAGTTTTGTGTATTTCACTGTACAAAAATTATATCTCAATAAAATGCATTTAAAAATATGTAGTATATTAGGAAACTGTTTTGGAAATTATTTTTAGGTTGATACTTCAATCAAGTTGAACTCTGGTAAAGGGAGCCACTCAGAAACCACGGAAGAAAACAGAAACACAGAGGAAAGTAGGAACGGTAGCAATGATAAAGGGGAAAACGACTCTGAGACAATAGAGTTGTCTGATGAGGGATCAGATGAAGATCTGGACTCTGTTCAACATCAGACAATCTCCGAGTGTTCAGGTATGATAACCAGTAGGTGATTGGCTAATAATAATTACAGCTGTTATATTTAAAATGTTAGACTTAAATGTATTTTTTAAAGAGCTAACTAAAAAACAAAAAAACACAAACACGCTGCCCTCGAGTAGGACCCAACTCATAGTGACCCCTCCTTGGGTTTCCAAAGCAGTATTATTACCGAAGTAGATTGCCCAACCTTCCTTCCAGGGGAGTGGCTGGTGGGTTTGAGCTGCCAGCCTTCTGCTTAGCAGTCAAATGCTTTAGGCATCACACCACCAGAGCTCCCAAACAGCTAACTAGAAATAATTAAAAACGCAACATACTTTTTATAAGCAGGCAACCACTAATTTTTATTTGGAACCATATTAAGAGCCTTTAAATGCACTTGGAAAATAATAAAATATGCCATTTAATAAAATTATTATTGTGGTCATTTTACATCAATGAAGAAGGAAGTGTTCTGCATTTTGTAGTGTGATTTGTTGATTTTTTTCATGACTAAAATTGCACAATAAAATGTACCTTGTAAATTGTATGTGCCATTTTAGGGATAGTCCCTCTCGATTTTAGTAACATTTTGACTTTAAAAAGATGACTTTTTTTTTTTTCATGGTTACTACATTAATTCTGGTCAGATGCAATTAGAACAGCTTTTCTCAATATATTGTCCACAGTGTCTTGGTGCGTGGGGAGGTGGACTGTGTGTCTCTGAGACCCTTTCAGTGGTTCTGAAAGTAAAAACTATTTTCAGAGTAATACTTACATGGTGTTTGTCTTTTTGCCCACTGTATTAACATTTGCACTGATGGTACAAAAGTAATAGTAGGTATTACTATTACTATTGATGGGTAAAACTTTTGGTACCTGAGTAGGGATCCAGGCAGTGACATCAAACAGTGTTATCAGTCATCATAATTTTTACTATCAATGAAGGCAATGGCAAAAACAAAACCAAACAAAAACAAAAAAAAACATTGTCACTCAAGAAATTCCCTGATGAAGAAGTAAAAATTGTTAACCTTTTTAATACCTTGTGTGGCAAAATGGCAAGTACACATAAAGCAGTTCTGCTGCATACGGAAGTGTGAAGATTGTCTTGTGGTTACAGTTGAGAGCTGAATTAGTCATTTTTTTCAAAATGAAACACTACTTTTACTTGAAAAAGGAGCTCTGGTGGCACAGTGCCTAAGGCATTTGACTACTGATCAGAAGGTTGGCGGTGCAAACCCACAAGTTGCTCTGCAGAAGGAAGAGGGGACAAACTGCTTCTGTAAAGATTTACCTACCACCTTGGAAACCAAATGGGGGTCGCTGTGAGTAGGAATCAACTCCATGGCAGTGGGTTTGGTTTTGGTTTTTCACTTGAAAGAATGACTGCCAGACAAACTATTATCTTTCAGACTTGGGTATTTGGTAGACATTTACAAAAATGAATGAAGTGAGGCTTTCATTTCAAAGAAAACAACTGCCAGTATTTGTTGCCAGTGATAAAAATTGAGCTTTCAAGTAAAAATTCATCTTTTGGAGAACTTGAATCTGTCACTGTAAGCTTGACAGCCTCCCATTACTTAGACTTTTCCGATAAAATTGGTGGTGATATTAACAGATGTGATTTTTAAAAATGTGTGTATTGAAATGTAAAATGCAGACCTTGAAGGTCTATGTAATATAGTGGACCACTATTTTCTAAAAGACCAGTGCAGGATGTTAAACAATCATGCATGGGTAAAAGACCCATTCAACATGCAAGATAAGCAAAACAACCCCCCCCCCCCAAAAAAAAAAAAAAAAAAAGGAGCAGCTAGTGGGTTTGAATTGCCAAATGTCTTAGGCACTGCACCACCAGCACTCCTTAACATGCAAGATAGGCCCGTGGATTTTAATGGAACAAGTACAAAGAGGTCTGATATGATTTGTTTATTAGCTAAATGTTAATAATCTACTGCTTGTTGGTTCTGGTGTATCAGGGGAAAATACCCACAGTTATCTGAAAAGGATATTAAATTACTCTTCCCTTTTCCAACTACAAGTCTATGTGAGGTCAAGTTTTCTTCATATATTTCAACCAAAATAGCAGATTGCAATAATAGATTATTTCAGGTATGAGAATCCAGCTGTCTTCTAGTATTCCACTTATTCCAAATTTAAAACAATGCCACTCTTCTCACTAATTTTTTTTGAAAAAGTTATTTTTTAAAAATAATGTTATTTATGTTAGCATATAATGCATTTATTATTATTTGAAAAGTAATTAATAAGTATTTACAGTATTTCTCAGTTTTAATATGATCATTATCAATAGATATAACCCACATAAACAAAAGCTATTTGGGGTTCTTAATTAATTTTAAGACAGTAAAGGGAAATGGAAACCAAAAAAGTTGGAGAACTGCTGATTTAAAAGATGTTTGGGCTGAAACGCAGCTCTCAAGGTCAGGTCAGGTGACTCCAACTTACAGTTATCAGGAAACAAAGCATTCTATTTGAGACGAGCTATTGGCACAGTTTCTACTGTATTTGTTTACATTGTTTTGGTACTGCCTGAGTTCCTTCAAAATGCCTACACGTAGAAGGGACCTGAAGATGCTAGGATTGGCAGTTGGGCATTAGAACTAGAGGCTATTACATTTGAAGTATGTAAGCAAGTGGATAAGGCATTTGGCTGCTACCTGGAAGGTCAGTGGTTCAAGCCCATCAGCTGCTCTGTGGAAGGAAGATGGGGCGGTCTCCTTCCATAAAGATTTATAGCCTTGGAAATCCAATGGGAGTCATCATGAGTAGGGTTCGACTGGATGGTAGTGAGTTTGATTTTTTGGTTTTGGTCATTCTTGGTAAGATCAATATTCTTTTTAGATAAGCTTGTTCCCTCTGAAAATATCTCCTTTCTTCCTTAAAGAAGAGGTGATATAGATTATAGGATACCCTCACTGGAGGTTTTGGATTTTCAGAAGTTGCTAAGATTGGCCTTTCTTAGCATATTATACCATTTCTAATAATCTAACATGGGGCTGCTGAGGACTTAAATATTTGAGCATTTATGTTCATTGTCAAATTCTCATTTTTCATCTGATTTTACAGAGGTGGTATTGTCTGGTAGTTAAAAGCTGTGGATCTATAATCAGATAGAGTGGGTGGAACATGACCCTGCCATTTACTTGTTATACCACCTTGGGTATGTATATAACTCTGTTCCAAATTAGCTCCTGTTTACTAATTTGTAAAATGGAGACAGTATTTATACCACCTCAGAGGGTTATGATGTGGATTAAATAAGATAATACCTTTAAATAAAGCTCTTACCGTTGTGCTTATCAGGTAACTCTATACATGTTAACTTCTATTATCATTCTTCATAAGTTAAAACTTGAATGCCAAAAGTTCTAAATAGACTCTAATTTTAAATAAGTTACCATCAATTATCCACAGCATAGAAGAAGGGTATCTAATTACATGTAGTACTTGTGTGGGTTTGTTTCTGTATATTGGAACCACTTTGTGTCACTCATCACATGATTTTTTTTTTTTTTTTGACTGTAGCTATTTGTGTACATGCCTTTTCTTTTGGTTAGTCTGAAGCAGCTTGAGGATATGGTCTGTGTCTTATTCACTATTTGTTACTTACAAATAGAGAAGTTATAGCTGAATAAAGGAGAAAGAACTTAGGTTTTAAAATCATAAGAGACCTACTTCTGAGTTCCAGTGTTATAATTTATTAGCTATTTGAAAGGGCCCAGTTATCTCAACTGTAAAATAGATAACATGTCTATTTCACAGGGTTTTTAGATAATTGTATGAGAAAATACACATGAAAACCTCTTGTAAGTTAAATATATGGCACTGATGTTAGTTGTTATTATCAGCCATAAATATTTGTTGAATCTAAGAGTGAATAGTAAGTACACAATAAAACAAAGCAAAATTTCATGGTTTTACTAAATATCAAACTCATCCCTACTTTCAAAATAATATAGATGAACCCAAATTAAAAGAATTAGATCTTAAACTTGAGGATGCTATTCAGAAGATGAAGAGGCTGGATAAAATATTGGTCAAGAGACAATACAGAGAGAAAGAAGTTAAGAAGCAAGGTCTAGAAATGAGAATAAAGCTGTGGGAAGAACTTAAGGTAAGAATTAGAATTATATAATCAAATGCTGACATGCAAGACACAGTTAGGTGGCACAGTGGTTAAAATGCTCAGCTGCCAACCAAAAAGTTGGTAGTTTGAATCAACCACTCCATGAGAGAAAGATGTGGCAGTCTGCTTCCATAAAGATTTATAGCCTTGCAAACATTGATATATGGGTGGATAGATGAGTGGACAGGCTGAACTATTAGGTATGTCTATGCAGGGGGGGAGTATGCTCATGACCATGTATAGGGTTAGCAGACAATGCTTCTACAAGTGTATTGGTATGTTCTGTAAGAATTCCCAGGTATATAGTAGAGCTGACAAAGGACAAGGTCACTTCTTGGCCATAGCCAGCTACCCAGAGGGAGTGAATAGTTGGACCTGTGGGCTTGGGACCATAGTTGTGGGGACATCAAGCTCAATTGGCATAATATACCACACAAAAACATTGTTCCACATCCTACTTTGATGAGTAGCAACTGGGATTTTAAAAGCTTGCAAATGGGCATCTAGATGCAATGATGGGTCTCTCCTCATCCAGAGCAAAGAAGAATGAAGAAAATGAAAGATGAATGGAAACAATTAGTCCAAGAGACTGGTACACCATGTGATCCCCAGCCTATATGACTATGAGACCAGAAGAACTAGATGGTACCTAGCTACCACTGTCAATCACTTGGAGGGGAATCTATGTAGGAGATCCTGGATAGAGTGTAGAGTGGGAGAACAATGTGAAACAGAACTCAAAATCATTTTTTTTTTTTTTTTTTTAAAAAGGACCAGGTTTGCTGGTCTGATAGAACCTGGTGGAACCCCTGAGACTGTGGCCGCTAGCTGCCTTTCAGAACTAAAATCAAACCACTCCTGTGGCTTCTAGCCAAACAAAGACAGGCATATGAGCTGAACATTTACATTAGGTAGATACACTACTTGGAGAGAACAATCATGGGAGAATAGAAGTGCTGTGTATGCACCGGGAGACAGCTCAGGAGTGCATGGGAGGGAAGGACACAGGGAAGAGGTAACTATGGGGAGGAAGTGGGAAGGGAGTTGTTGCATTGTGGGAAATTGCAGTCAATCATAATACAAAGTGTATGTAAGCTGCTGTATGGAGAGTGAATTTGCTCTGTAAACTTTCACCCAAATCACAATAACAATTAAAAAAAAAAAAGAAAGAAAGAAAAGAAAAGATTTACAGTCTTGGAAACCCTGTGGTGCAGTTTTAGTCTGTCCTATAGGTTCACTATGAGTCGGAATCAATTTGCTAGCAGTGGGTATTTGGTTTGGAAGAAACAATTTCCTTTAAGATGAATAAGAAAAGCATAGACTGTAGTAGTGGTTAATGTGATTTGCCTTTATTGATTTATTTTGGAGGTTGTAGTGTGTGTGTGTGTGTGTGAGAGAGAGAGAGAGATATTTTTCTGACCAGAGAAAGTAACTTGATCTGCACCATTCCAGACTTCAGGCACTGTGTTAGGCTGGGTTCTCTAGAGAAGCAAAATCAGTAAAACTTGTGTACATATAGAGAAAGAGACATTTATCTTAGGTAAATGGCTCACACACTTATTGAAGTTGGCAAGTCCCAAGTTCTTGGATCAAACGTCAAGCTGGAGGCCTTTCCCAACTCACGCAGCTGTAGGAGCTGAGGAGCTCCAAGTTGGCAGGGAGTACCGGCTTTGACTCCAGAGAATGATGAATCCAAGATCTCCAGGCTGAGTAATGGACTGTTCACTCATGGACAGCTGTAGGCAGCACAACAGGATCCCAATCCACAGAAGAATGTCTCTTTTCCCAGGATGTTCATAAATATATTGGAAGCAGACCACACCCCTAGGGAAACTCCCTTTCAATGGATTGGCTGCTCAAAACATATACATCTGATCCCATCGTGGGAATAACCCACATCACAATTGCTTAAACCACATAGAATTGTGGTCCAGCCAAGTTGACCCACAGCTCCAACTATCAGAGGCACTGTGCTGGCGTGTTCATTCCACATGAACAGGCCCAGTAGTACATACCTCTTACCAGTGTCTGGCTGGGCCTCCACCATCTCTGGAATAGAAAGGGGTATGGTGGCTACCTTCATCCAAGTGTGTATGTCTGCTTTTTCTTCAGGGAGCTTAAAGTTTAAACTTTGGAGATAAATAGACAAATACACACGAATTTGATCCCCTGGTTAGCATTATTATTTGAGACCTTTATGGCCAAGTTCTCTTCAGGAAGCTGTAAAGTGCTTGAGGTCTGGATCATGCTCTATTTTGCTTTTGTCTCAACAAATTATGATTGGTTTTCTTTTTGGCCTTCTTGGGCTTCTTATTCTCTATAATATTGAAGGATTGAAGTTGACCCCATTAACATCAACTTGGTATATAGCCATTGGCTCATATTTGAACTTCATCCCTCAAAGGAAAGCTCCTCTGAGGTAAACAATATTGCAATAGCATATTGGGTTATTTTTATATTGGGCTATCAAGATCCTCCTCGATCAATTGACTGATTTCAGAGGAAATTTCTAGGCAATAATATGAATTAGGAATTAAGTTATTAAGAATATATTTTTACAAGGTTCCTAGGAAGACCACTGGGATAAGAAGAAAGCAACATACAAATTGTAATGCTTTAAATTAGAGAAATCCTGTCATTATTTTCTTTTCAGTCTCAAAACAAATTTTTACTTGCTTCAGAACAAGAATCTTGAATGTAAACATAATAAGATAGAACATCAGTCTTGAAATGTCTGAAATTTCAATTTGATGGTATACCTTCTATAATTTACTAGTTATAGAAATATTAAGCAGAAATTTAAAAAACTGTAGGCAAGGTAATTATCATACAATGGTTTACATATTCTCCAGCTCCACCTGGAAATGCCAATTGATAGAATGTTGCTGGATCAGGAAACATTAAAATTTTCCTAAATCAAGGACTAAAAATGGCCCGAACCTTCTTGGTCTATGGACATTATTGAGAGCTATGTTAGAATTGAAAAATAAATCAGTTAGTATAGCTGTTTTCTTTTCCTATGTTCAAACTTTCATTTCTCTTTCATTAGTCTGCAAAAAATAATGAAACTTTAGAAAGTAATGAGGAGATGGAAAATACAAAAAAATTTTTGGCTTTGACTGCAGCATCAGAAGAAACTGTTGGTGAGTAAGATTGAGATGTCATTCTTCTTTATTTTTATCTCAGAATCATAGAATCTTTAGATTAAATTCAAATTCCCAGTCAAATTTCATTTTCTCTTCTTTGTGAATACAACTCTCCTTTAGGGAAAACGCTTGATCACATTTGTTGTTGTTATGTGCCATCGAGTCGGACCCGACTCAGAGTCTCCATTTAGGTAGAATTATATAGAACTACCCTGATCTTGGGAGCTCTGGTAGCATAGTGGCTAAGACACTTGCCTGCTAACCAGATGGATGGCGGTTCAAACCCACCAGCCACTCCTCGGAAGGAAGGTTGGGCAATCCTACTTCCGTAGTGATACTGCCTCGGAAACCCAAGGAGGGGTCGCTGTGAGTCGTGGCCGACTCGACGGCACATAACAACAACAACAACAACATTATTAATACTTTTGTCCTTTTTATGTGATACTGCCTCGGAAACCCAAGGAGGGGTCGCTGTGAGTCGTGGCCGACTCGACGGCACATAACAACAACAACCACCCTGATCTTAGGTATGTTTCAAGGATCTTCGCTAGGGGTGAAAGGACAAGGCAGAGAAAAATGGAAAACAGTTTTTGTCTTTGACTTTATTTCCATTCTCTATTGTGTACCTCTAGACACCCCGTTTGTGTAGACAATCCCCTGACTGCCTTGAATCCTCCTACAATGTGTCTCATTTTAGCCTGTGAAACACCGTTCATAAAAATCCATTGCCAATTTATTCTATTTTCTGTCCTCTCCTAGTCTAGGTTTTAGAAATCAGCCAATTGATTCTGCACATATATTATTTCTATCTTCCCTCCTTGTTTGTATATATACCTGTGAATATTCTTCTTCTTCTTTTTTTTAACTGAGATATTATGTAGCAATATAACCTTTAACTCACTTATATAAAGGTGAAAATTGTAGCCGTTGTTGTTGTTATGTGCCATCGAGTCAACCCTGACTCATAGCGACCCCTCCTTGGGTTTCCAAGGCAATATCACTACGGAAGTAGGATTGCCCAACCTTCCTTCCGAGGAGTGGCTGGTGGGTTTGAACCGCCAGCCTTCTGGTTAGCAGTCAAGTGCCTTAGCCACTATGCTACCAGAGCTCCCAAAAATGTAGCACTGGGAAGCAATTGATACAATTTGGCAAGATACTTTTGAATCCCTTAATTTATATCACACAGATGGTCCTCTAACTGGCTCTAAGCATAAACAAGTAATTCACAAAACAGAATAATAAATAGATGAATAAATATTTCACCTGCCTAATAATCAGAGAGGTGCAAATTATTGTATTTTCATTTTCAAAAAACCAAAGCTAAAAATAATTTAAAAAAAATTGTTGTTGTGAACATAGATTGCCCAACCTTCCTTTTAAGGAGTGGCTGGAGAGTTTGAACTACCAGCCTTCTGGTTGGCAGTCAAGTGCCTTAGACACTATGCTACTAGAGCTCCTAATACCTTTGTAGCATTGTATAATTTTTTCTGTCACCAGGAAAGACCAAAGAACTTGCAAATTGTCCAGTAGGTGGCAGCATCTAGTTGAAATACAGAGTGCTTTTAAAAGAATCACTTAAGGAGCTAGTGCCAGACCTGTTTGGACTTGAACTTTAAACATACAAGTACAAATATACCAAAACTTACTTTCTACCTTTGTTTTCTTTTTCCCCTTTAAACAAATGAAACAACTATTTATATGAGTATTTCCTTTTCATATTCCAGTTTTCCTTAACCTCTTCTATAAGACTTATTTCCAACCTGCTTTCCAGCCCCAGCCCCAGCCCCACCCTTAAAACACAAATCCATTTGAGTCTCTTTCTAACAACACAAATAACCAACAGAAAATAAATGAAAGTATGTTTGTTGTGGGGTTTGTACTTAATTTTATTGTATGTTGAAGCCTTGACTCCAAGAGAACACTGAAAATCGTATTAAATCGACTTAGACCATATTTTGACTTTATAACCCAGAGGTAATAATCTCCAGTTTAACTACTGAGATTTTAAAAGTATACAGTAATACACTTGCTAGAGATCTCAAAAAGACTTTACAAGTCTCTCCTACCTCATTATTGAGGAATCACCTTTGTTTCTAAAGAAATGGGAAAATCAAAACTCTTTGTAACACACAGTTTTCCTTTGGTTTTTAGCATTTATCTAATGGATAGAGGTGGAATTCAGTATTCTCGAAGATAGATAGATGCATGTCATGATGGGTCTGTTTCTTGTCAATGTTTTCATTTTGACAAAGGTTACTTTTTTAGCCTTTGTCACATTTCCTTTTTGTGTTTCCAGCTCCAAATTATAAATGCATGTAAGCATAAAGCAGCAACATCTTAATGAATTAGGCTTCTCAAAATGTGTGAATACCACTTTCTAGGTGCTTTCTCTATGAAATTCAGATACGTAATACTTCACATATGTGGAATTCAGACATGTTAATTGTTTCAAAATTAAATGTTCCAAAAGATCTGGTAGTGTGTGTCTGTTCTGGTGTGTCTGCAGAGGATGGAGGGAGAAAATCACTTAACTGTGCCGACTGGCACAGCTAGGTATTTAGGGTTTTAACCTCTGTTGAGTTCTTAGCATTGCTTAGCAGCCTCTTTTGCATTCCGTGAGGTGGCTCTACCAAACTGTTACTATGTGCTTAACCTCCCATTCTCTTCTGCAAGACCTTCACTCTGGCAGTCTTAACTTTTCCAGAGAAAATGGATATATTGGGTAGGAGTTCTTCCACATTCTTTCCTTTTATTTGTAGTCGTCACCTGACTATGTTCCTTCATCTGCCTCTCGCCTTCCCTCTTAGATGGGGAGAAGGTACTCTTGTTCCCCAAGGCCAAAGTCAGTGACATCTCATCCCTTTCACCCTGCTCCTGCTTTGGCTCACCAATCATTCTGTCCCTCACCTAGATCTTCAAGCTCCCTCCTCTCCTCTGGCTCCTTCCCTTCAGTTTACCATGTTCACATCTTTTAGTTATAAAACAGAATCAATGAGTCATTCAACCAACCAATCACCAAGCAAACATGCAAATCAAAACTCTTCCCTCAGCTCTTCACCCTACTCCCAAACAGGTTTCACTCCTCTCCTTAAAATTCTTCTTGGAAGAAAAGCCTATACCTACTGGTTCCTCCTGACCAACTTCCATTTACGTCTCAACTCTTCTAACCCATCACGGTCTGTATTTTCTATCACAGTACAGAAATGACTTCATCATGGTACCTCTAAATTCTAAATTTAGTGGCATGTTTCCAATTTTTACCCTACGTGACATCTCTGTAGCATCTGATATAGTTCATGATTCTTAGCAAAGTAAAATTTTACAGGACTTATGATTCCGTACTGTTTTTCCTCTTTTTCCCCTGTTCCTTCCCATTTCCTACTTCTGGTACTGAAACCTGTCCCTCTTTTTGTATGTTTTCTCTATTTTGGTTACCATCCACCCAGTCTTCCTCATTATTCTCTTATGCTTTCTTCCTGAGTAACAGTTCTTCAAATGACTATTTTTTCTACTTTTTCTATATATGTCCTCTTTGTCACCCTATCATCAATGGTTTGAATGCAGACTTTATTATTTTTCTTTTAGGATATTTGAATAGTTTCAAGTCTTGTCATCTTGTCTCCCTGATATTATTATCTTCTTATACAATCATTGTATTCACTACCTCTTGCTGTGTAACCATTTACCTCAAACATAGCAGCTTAAAACAATAAACATTTACGATTTCCCAGTTCTGTGGGTCAGGAATGTAGGAGTAGCCTAGCTGGGTGCTCTGACGCAGGATCCCTCGTAAGGTTGCATTCAGCTTGTTGTCCAGGGTTATAGACGTTTGAGGAGTCACCTAGAGCTGGAGAATCTGCTTCCAAGCTCATTTCACATGGTTGTTGGCAAACCTCAGTTCCTTTCTGCCTTTTGGCTGGCGATCTTATTTCCTACCACACGGGCCCCTTCATAGGCTGCCTGAATGTCCTCACAGCGTGGCAGCTGGCTTCCTTTAGAACACATAGTGAGTACTCAGTAAGTTGAGCTATTACTATTCCTAAGATTACTAGGCAACAACAGGAACATAGTATGTTTCTTATATATGACCTTTCACAGATCAGGGAATTTTTGCCAGTTTCGTGCAGTGATTAGGTATCCATAGTTTATTTACCAAGCTTATCCACAGGCTGTTTATCCTGGTTAGTGTTTATTCCATCTTATTTTTGATGGATTATTAATTATATAGAGAAGAGCTAGCTCATAATTTGTTTTCTATATCAACAATTAACTAAAGTATCTTATTTATTCTAGTTACCTTTAGTTGGTCTCTTGGATCTTTTAACTCTAGGAACATATCACTTGGAAATAATATTAATTTTTGTGTCTTTTTCAATGATTTTTTTTTCTCATTTTGAGAACTGTAAAAAAGGCCTAGGAAGGTTGGACAATCTACTTCGGTAGTGATATTGCCTTGGAAACCCAAGGAGGGGTCTCTATGAGTTGGGTCCAACTCGACAGCACATAACAAGTGTTGAAATGTATTAAATACTTTCCAACGTCTACTTAAATTATCATGAAGTTTTTCTTTCTTAACAAATTTATCTAATATTTTAATATTTTAAAATTTATAGAGTTTGAATACAATATCAGTCTTTTATTCTTGAGTCAAGCTTTCTTAGTTATAGAGGATTAGCTTTTTAATTTAGTGCTAGTTTGATTGGCTGACTTTTATTCAGAGTTTTATACCTATATTTAGCAGTGAGATCAGCTGTGTGTGCATGTATGTGTATGGTGTTGTGGGTGGAGGTATGGTGGTGGAGCAGCAGTGGAGGTGTGTGTTTGCTTTGTCAGGCTTTGCTAACTTCATAAAATGAATGGGGGTGGATGTTCACTTATTTCTATGCTTTGGAACAGTTTATATAACATGGGGATTATCTGTTCCCTAAAAGTTTGAAAGATTTCTCTGGAAAAACCATCTGGTTCAAATAATTTTTTTGGAGGCAATTCTCTGACTC